GGGGTTCCGGGAGAGTCAATGGCCCCAGCTCAGACTTAACAAATCTACTCACAATACATCATCTCCAACAACTTGTTTGGCTAAGGAGCATGAGCTCTCCCCCTGATAGGAGATGTTTATGCAGGTTTTCAAACAAGCCTCCAGGCCGTGACCCCTCACTCTCAGCAGCATCAACACAGCTGCCTGCGGTCCCCTCCCACGGGGTCCCTCCTAGACACAGCGACCTGGAGACTGTGGACAGTACCAGGCTGCTTCCGACCTGGTTTCAGCTCCTTCCACCCTGTTCCTGGAAAGTACAGAAAAGACAGGGCTCTAGCTTCCTCCCACTTAACCCCAGAGCCATAGGTCCCTCGCCCACGGCCTCTTCCATTGTCATGGCAACCCAGCTCCTCACCTGTGGAGATGGAGACTCTTGCCCCCTCGGTTCTGGCCTTCCCAGGAAAGGAGGCACCTATAGAGAAGAGACAAGGGCCCTGAGCCAGGAGCCTGGCAGACAGGGCTTTCCTCCTGGCTTTGCCATTTTGCAGTCGTGTGACCAAGGCCAGCCACATGCCACTTGGAGCCTCCGTTTCTCACCCGTAACATTGGCCTCTCAATGTGGACAGGCCTGGCCCCCAGGAGACACCTCTAATGGCCTCCTGCTCGTGGCTCAGAGCAAGGGGCCGAGGCCTCTGACCTCACTTTCCTTCCACCCCCCAAGGCTGTGTCAGGGCTGCAAGGGAGCTCTAGAAGGAACACAGTTCCAGGGTGCAGCCTGGGGTGGGTGGGTGGGTGGGTTGGTTGGTTCAGTGACTGTCTTGTTTGTAACTGCTTGAGAACAAATGCCTGCAACAGGATAGTGCAAGTCTAGAAGAAGAAGAGAGAGAGCTCTTATTAAGAATAATCTGTCACAACTGATGGAAAAAACTAGGAAGTTCACACACACACACACACACACACCCCTGTAACATTAAGGTGGAACCGTAGCGGGAAGGGTGGCCGGGAGAGACAGGTTAGTACTGCAGTGCCTGGACTTCTCCATTCTTCCTGAGCAACACTGGGGTGGGCCTGGCAGGTGGCTGTCTCCCAGCAGCAGGGACCTGCTTTCTCTGGCCACTAGCCTGTTAGAAAATAGTGCACAGACTCCAACTTACCTTCCTGGAGATTGCGGGGGTGGTTCTTCATAATTCCCACCCCTGGGCAAAGAAGAGACAGCTCCCCCATCCCAGGTGGCAGTGCTGGGCTTGCAGGTGTGTTCTCTCCAGAACTGTGCTCAGCTAAGCCCAGGGCACCGCCGACCTTCCCTCTGGTGATGAGAACCCAGGTATACAGCATGCTCGCTGTGGTTTTTGCTGTGCTCTGTGCTCACACCCGAGCCAACTGCAGGACACAAAGCCTTCCTTCATTTGCACAGCACCGTCTCAGCCACTCACTCATTTACCGTTTACTCACTCAGCAAACATGTATCGCTGCCTACTAGCTCCCAGCACCGTGCCAGGCTGAAGACAGACGACCTGCCGGCTGAAACCAAACCACAGATGTAGTGTGTTTGGCTTACTCTGTGTTTTTTCAAATTTCAAATTTCAAATTAATTGCCAACGTTTAAAAGTGTGAAATTGCATCTGAAACTCTGATTTTTGGATTTCTCCTGAATAATTAAAAGAACTTCACAATCCCATGTGACCACTTTCAAATGACCACGTTCACTGGCAGCCCCTTTTGTGTGTGACACAGGCCCCGCTACTCCCTATGCTTTCCTGGCCGGTCTGCTCCGCTCAGTTGACCTGCTCCCCTGCAGGACTTTCTCTTTTGATCCCTGTTATTGATGAGTAATAACAAAAACTAATACGCATTTAGCACTAACTATGCACCAGGTTCCCCTGTAAGTGTGTCACGCATATTAACTAATTTAGCCTCATAGTAAAGTGAGGTAGATGCTATTATGCCCATTCATTCAAGAAATATTTGCAGAGGCCCCAAATCTGCCAGGTACTATTCTATCAATGGAGACACAGCCAGGAACAAAGCAGACAAGATCCCTTCCTTCACGGAGCTTTCACTGTAGTGAGGGCACAGTTTGGGGTGTGCTGATGGGGTTGGGGTGGGGGGGTGCTATTGTGAATAGAGTGGTCAGTATAGGCCTTGCTGAGAAGGTTAAATTCTTTGACATTTAAGCAAAGACATGACTGAAACAAAGGTTTAGGAGAAGAGCATCCCAGGCAGAGAGAGGCTAAGAAACGAGCCCGGGTCACACAGCTAGTTAAGTGGCCAAGCTGGGATGTGAACCCCAGGCTGGCTCCAGAGATTGTGCTCCTAACCACTGCACTATAGGGCTCCACATGAGATGCTTCCCTGCCCCTGAGACACCCCCAGAGGTGGAGACAGGCAGGGAGCATCATTGCTCTTAGAGGGCTGCAGCTGGGGGCAGGGGATCAGCTTGGCCCGAGGCTTCAGCTCTGAAGTTTTGGACCTCCTGTCCTATCCTCCCAGCATCTTCCCAGCAGGCCAAGATGAATCGAACGCCTGCCCTTGGCTCTTTATTTTAATCTCAGAAAGGTTCTGGGAGCTCCTCCTCTGCCAAGCTCCCCCACCCCTCCTCTTTCCAAGGGCTGAGAAGAACTGGTCACAAATCCTCCTAATCCTCCAGCATCTCGGTCTCCATCTCACAGTGACACTGAGCTCCAGCAGCCAGAAGACCCCGTGCATCCCACCCACGCACCCGGTGACTGCCCAGCCTCTGCCTACTCTCCCTCACCCATGGGGAACAGCAAAAGCGGGGCCCTGTCCAAGGAGCTCCTGGAGGATCTGCAGCTGAACACCAAGTTCACGGAGGAGGAGCTGTGCGCCTGGTACCAGTCCTTCCTGAAGGACTGTCCCAGCGGCCGCATCACCCGGCAGCAGTTTGAGAGCATCTACTCCAAGTTCTTTCCCGATGCCGACCCCAAGGCCTACGCCCAGCACGTGTTCCGCAGCTTCGACGCCAATGGTGATGGCACCCTGGACTTCAAGGAGTATGTCATCGCCCTGCACATGACCACCGCGGGCAAGCCCAACCAGAAGCTGGAGTGGGCCTTCTCCCTCTACGACGTGGATGGCAACGGGGCCATCAGCAAGAACGAAGTGCTTGAGATCGTCACGGTCAGTGTCCCCCTCTCCCCTTCTGGCTGTGCAGAACTGCCCCTCCCCCACCCCCTGCTGCTGCTGCTGCAGAAGGAGCCAGAGCTAGGGGTGAGGGGGTGGGATTCGGGACAGTGGCTCTGAGAGCCTGGCACAGGAAGGGCTCCAGGAGGCTGATATTAACAGAGAGCTGGGCACTTTTCCACAGCTTCCTTTTCTTCCTGTGATTGATATTTATTTCCTTTTCTTCCTTCCTTTCTTCCTTAAAATGTCCTTCAACGTTTTCAGCAGTACATGTTCAGATTCTGTCACGATTAATCTTAAACACACAACAAGTAGAAAGAGGTCAGAGTTGGGGGACACAAGCTCTGAGTTCC